AATTAAATTTACAGTAGCAACTGAAATAGACCATTTCTGTGATGTAATCATTGATAGAAAAAAATCAATGAATTGCAAAGCAATATTGGAAGATGAACTGTACTGGAAAGTCACTAACTTTAAGGTCATAGCTCATAAACTAAAACGGAAACCTCTATACAAGGTGAACAATAACAACAAGCCTACAAAGCAATCAAGAATATGAAACTAATTTTAAAGATAAAGAAAATGTAGATTATGAAATTCAATGTCTGAATTGTGAATAGGAATTTATAGGTCAACAAGTAGGAGAATACAAACTGGAGTAAATGATAACGATATAAATGAGGAGGTTGAGATATAGAATTTGTTCAGAGTAATTAAAACATTAAAGCATTGTTTATCAACATTTCAGAATATTTTATTCCATTTTTAGGGCTTATGTAGCATAGCATAACATAGCATAGCATAGCATAGCATAACACTCAGGCACTGACACAAGGAGATATTACAGAACAAGGCTCTATTCACACACATCTGCATTCTGATTCACATCAAAAGTCTTCTTTCATTTGCTATGATGCCTTGACCTGAGGTGGATCTCAGCAGGATGCACCCACATCCTGTAACCTCTCCTTGTGTCTGTGTTGGGGAGTTGTACTATCCATGTTTCTGCTGAGATATTATGAAGAATTTTATATCTTTTGAGGAGTACCCTCTGATGATGGAATAAAATACTTAAGCTAAAATACTTAAAAAGCGGCAAAATTAATCATTTAATGTTTTAATTAAGTAACAACGTCCCTTGATCTCAGCTTCCAACATTGAACTAGATGGTTGTAAGTCCATAAAGATTAATAAACATGACTGACCAAACTTCATATCTAAGCATTCAATCAAAAAACTACATAAAAGTGATTAAAAAAACTGCTTTCGAATAGTAAAACAAAGACAGTATTTATACTAATGTCAAAAATCATAAATATCAAAATGTGAATAATGAACATAATATTGCAAATTAACCAAATAACTGTACGTTATGGTAACACCATTTATAGTTTGAAGAGAAAGCCTCAGAAAACCCATTCTCTGACCTTTCTTCAAATCTCCCTCTCTCTGCCTCTTTTGTGGACTACTCGCCCCTACCAACATACAAGAACGCCATAATGATCCTGCCTCGTACAAGAGCAGAGTAGAAATGTGAATGATTATACATAAAATTCTTCAGTGAAATGTAGCCACTCAAGATCATGTAAACTTGATTGTATTGCTAATGATATACTGTGTTATATTTTATGAATATAAAGGTGAGACTCAGTCGCTTGAATTAGTATATTTATTTTAAAAAATGTTGTTACAAAAAATATTCCTAAATATCAGAAATTTAACAATGGCTTAGAATTTAATAGATAATCAAATTTTATTGACAACTGAAGAGGGAAAGAAATTGTTCTTGAAACATTGTGTTAATGTGAAGTACTAATAAAACTAGTGTGTTTTTGTTTGTTTGTTGTTGTTGTTGTTTGTAATTGAATACGAGTTTTGATGGAATTTTGACTATAAACTGGAATGTGTCGGTAATATTGTCAGATTACACAGTGTAAAAACACTAAGTGCCTAAAATAACGAATTTCTATAATGTGAAATACTTTAATCTTCTCTCAATGTTCTACATAAACTTCATAAGTATTCCCAATGTGACAGAGGGTAAAAGTTCATTCATAATTATGCATTGTATTAAATTACTAACTCTATTGTTTTATATCACAATAATAAGAATTTTGTAAAATTTTAGAACTCTTCAATGAAAGATTGAAAGTCTACCTGTAGTATAATATTATTAATAATTACACAAGGCATTTTTCTGTAATAATATTAAAAAATCTTGTTTGAAAAAGATCTCTATTCAATAATGGAAAATATTAAAAATATTCTATTTGCTAATAACATTAATACATTATTAGAAGGGCAAATCACCAAAGCTCTAGTAGTCAGTCGTGTCATCTTTGACTTTTACTTCAATGGACCCACCCAAAGCAAATTATAAAAAATAAACAAATACACAGACAGTCCACAACTCGCATTCAGTTTGCCATAATTTTCACACTATTTTACCTTCCAATCGTAAGTGTAGGGCGCACACAGACATATATAGGAACTTTAAACTCAAAATCGATCAAACTGAATTCTAGGCATAACAACAAAATCACACCTGTCAAGAGTCTAAAGTCATAGTAGTACAGTGGAAATGTTCAAAGTCTTCTGAAATAAAATATAACTCCCTCGCACAAGAAGGAAACAAAATGACAATGTAGAATATAAAAAATTTTAGGACATCTGTTTAGACTTTTCTCTTAATTTTAAAGCTCTTATTTGGAACTATAGAAATAAATTTGTAGTTACTTACTTGAAAAAAATTAATATATTTCCACAGCCGTGAATGCATTTATACGAAAAGTCTTGTTATAAAAAATAATTTTATTGATAATCCCATTCTTTACAAAGAGAGCTCAAACTCATATGTCAAAGTATACTCGTATGTTTTTTAACAGAGGCTAAATTATTTGTTAGCAATTATTCCCCTCAACAATAAAAAAGGCAAGCTTTTGTGTCTGCAAAAAAGTTACGCAAAACTTAATGTAACTTAATGAATGAAGAATTTTGTTAAGATTGAATTTCATTATCATTTCATTCCAATCCATAATGCTTGTTTCAAACGTATTTTGTTTTTAAGGAACAGAACAAAATTAAAAATATTGTAGTTTGTGAAACTTCCTTTCTCATTCTTAGTGCAAATTTGTCATTGTCTACGTTCATTGAACTGTTGTTGTTGCCTTTCACCATCTGTCAAAAACTAATTACCTAAAATCACAAATTATTACCATGCATAACAATAATAAATAATACAAATACTTTTAAACAAAAATCGCAATCAACCATTTGTGAGACCATACTATGGTCAAGATATTTTGAAGTGTAAAATAGGAAATGCATTTAAACAATTGACAATTATGACAATTTTTGCAAAGATTATTTAGTTTGTTTTCTAGCTCAAACCTTGGTTACTAAACTTACTAAATTTTCTTCTTTAAGCTATACAATGGTTAATACATGAATGGAACAGTAGGATTGATACATGTTCAATGTTCACAATGGGGTATTAGAATAAGTCAAACGAACAGTAAATATAAGTTGACATGCAAAAAATTGAATTAGGCCCTACATCGAAATGCAGAAATATTGAGATGTATGTCACAGACACAGTGGACAGTAATAAAGTCATTACCTGTTAAACATGTTTCAAAATGTCTCCCTGCCTTACACACAGACCTGCATTGAATTATTTTTAATTTATTTTATTATTGCCCTTCAATATCATCTAGTGGTGCTACAATTAGCACAGACTTGGTTTGCAATTTCCTATGGCGACGGCAAGCTATTTAAACTTGCCACGTGCTCTTGTCTGCTGCATCTATCGCCGCCCAAAGTACATTGTTTTGAAATTTTCTTAATTTCTCTGTTTCCTAATAGTAGAATGTAAATGTGATTTTAAGAACATTAAAGTACCGTAAAATTAAAATTGCAGTAACAGTAAACCTCACCCTAAATGGCAATTTTCTTTGAAAAATATGGAGCGTTTTAAAAAAAATAGCGCTTAAGCCGTACTGTACATTCTAAATTTGAAGATACTTCGAAAAACTTCATTTGAAATAATTTCAAGTGCATTAACTTACAAATAAAATAGTGTTTACAAATTGCTGGTTATCTGCAAATCAACGGCGTGAGAGGTCTTTCAAAAAATTTACATTTGTGTAATTTTTGAAAAAACAAAAAATTCACCGAAATTATCTTTACGTCATATTAAAAAGTGCAATTACCAACATCTGTTCGAAATGTTTGAAGAAAAAAATGGAGCAGTATTTGAGAAAAAGGCGTTTGAGTGTTTTTGAAAATGCGGATTTTTTAGACATTTTTAGAGAAAATGGTAGTTTTGAAACTTTATGACATTATTTAATGCAATGTACTCATATATACTATAATGAGAACAAATTGCTGCTACACAAAATATTAACATGAGAGGCAAACCCAAAAAAATTATATTTTTTGTAATTTTTGGAAAAACAACAGAATAGAGCAATATGGCATTAATGTCGTCTTATAGAGTACATTTAACACTATCCATTCTAAAGATCGCTCTGTCGCGAGCGCGCTCTGTCGCGAGCGCGCTCTGTGATTGTATGGGAACATGATTGCAATCTATTGCTGCCAGATAAACATTTAACAGCTTCTCAAACCTCCAGATTATTTATCGGATACTTCAAACACTGCATAGATTTTACAGGCACTCGAAAAACAAAAATTTTCAACATATCATTAAGATAACTTCTGTACAGACTATCAGAAACTTTATTAGGCACCGGTGAAAGAGGCCCTGAAAGACCTTTAATATTGGATGAGAGAGTCGCCAGGTATTTCAGAGGAAAGGATTGATATAATGTAAATTTAGTATAATAGTAAGAGACAAAATTAATTATCCAAAAACATGTATTAAACACAAAGAATCAATCGAATACAAACAATAAATCAAACATAAAGAATAAATCAAACACAAAGAATGAATCTAACACAAATAATGTATCAAACACAAAGAATGAATTTAACACAAATAATGTATCAAACACAAATAATGTATCAAATACAAAGCATGAATCAAACACAAAGAATGAATCAGTCACAAAGAATTAATCAAACACATAAAATTATTAAACACAAAAAATATCAAACACATAAAATTATCAAACACAAAATGAGTAAATACATAGAATTATCAAACACAAACACAATTTATCAACCATAAAAATAGATATATCCATCAGAAAACAATTTTTTTCCATTACAGGAGTCAAATCAAAGTAAGTTTATATATCACAGATGTTTATCCAATCACAAAAATACATCAAACGCAACTTATTAAAACAAATTGGCACAAGCTAACAACTGACACAAGAGAAAAATGACACAAAAAATAACAAACATCTTCAAAAAAAAAAACAACCTCCATTTAAACAAGATTATTCAGTATCTCGATCTTTAAAGAACACATCATGCAGCTCCATTTCTTCTGGAGTGAATATCAACCGGCGCCCTTTCAGCCAACCATGGTTCCCGACGAGAACGTAGGCTACCACTGTGTCCTCAGCGAACACCACTGCAAAATCATTCTAGAAAAGAGAGAAGACAGTCTTCAGTTTTTTTTGCGTATTTCGGTTACCCCACCGCCAGACCTAGACCATCTGGAATACATGTATTATTATTGTGTATACATGTGTTATTATTATTAATATTATTATTATTATTTATTGCAGATGGCTCTGAGACGTGTGTCACGCGAGCTTTGCGTTCACGCGCGTTACGTAACTCTGATATCAGCTGCGTCGACGCGCTTTAATGGCCAAGCACACGAGTCGCCCTAACGCGCGTCGTAGACTAACATTGTACGAAACTGCACACGAACGCTCTTGGCGCCATGCGAGACGCTCAAGCTACAACGTAAGTCAAGAAACCCGTTTCCTAACATTCAACGCGCGACGCCCATTGGCGTTGTAATAACGCATGTCACCAAGAGCGCTAGTGTGCCGCTTCGCATACGATAAAATGTCAATCTACGACGCGCGTTAGCCGACTCGTGTGCGCAGCTGACGTGGATGGTGACGCGCGTCAACGTAACGCCCGTGCGACGCAGGCCTTCCGGATTCGCCGTTGCTCTGCATCCGCGGGGACGATCAGACTTACATTTGGGCAGTTCCAGGCGCGCATCCAGTTGAAATGCCAGCTCTGCAGCACCCAGTCCGGGGTGAAGGTGATGAAGCGCAGGCGGGTGACGCGGTGCGGGCGGCGCGGGTGCGGCACGACGGCGATGAGCGCCACGCGCTCCTCCCAGCTCAGCGGCCACGGCGGCGTCACGCGCACGCAATACACGCGGCGCGGGTTGCGCCAGATGATGGCCCGGCAGAAGTCGAGCGGGATCGGGGCGAAGCAGCGCATTCGCTGCCAACAGGAGGCGCAATGCAATGGGATTGCTTGGGCGATATTTAATTGCTGTGCTACGGCAAGGTGCGCAGATTAGATTACGCATAATAGGCTTATAAAATGAGGTATTAAGTTAAATCTTTTTCCAACGGGAGGCAAAGGCTTACTATACAATTATGGCAATCATTCGAGGCATTTATGAAACACGAAGATTACTCCCACATAACTGAAGGGCGCAGTAGAACAACGGGCTATCCAACATTGTATTGGGAACTTCAAATATTATTCCTTTAGTATAATATGTTATTTAAGTGCAGTATGGATTTACTATATGCAAGTGTACTGTGTTTAATAGTTAAAATTGTACTAAGTTACATTATGAAAGTTCTAGTAAACCATCAATATCTCAGAACGAATAGCCCTTTCTTCTGAGCCTTTCAATTGTCAAGTAAACACATTTCAAGATGGTGAAAGACAAGAAGTACACACACACACACACACACACACACACATTTCGTAGTTGAACCCGGCCACCCTCACAGTAATGTCGATTATAGGCTAAAGCATCGAAAGTCACTTAATGTATAATAATGACAATATGAACTTTGTCGAAACGTTGTTTTTAAATAATTAAATAGACAAGTAATGTGAAAATTTTTTATTATGTTTTTAAATTAAACCAACTAAGAAAGCGATAATATATTTATACAAATCTTTCATTATTTTAGAATAATATTACATCAAAAGTTCTAAAAACTCAATTTAACAACCTCGTTTCTTCGAATTGAGAAAAGCTGCTCGTGTTTTGACAAGTGTGCTTTGGACGATTCCTTGTCTTTGGCGATGTCCCCTTAAAATCTAAGCATCCGTTCAACTCTCGTGTCTCGAGTCGGTTAACTCACCAGGCGATCGCGTGTCAGCGGGAATGGTATAGCGTTTGTGGGCAGCGGTAAGTTGAGTTTGGTGGGAATTCCGCCGAAGCGGCGTTCAACTCGTCTGATTAACATAGAGGGGTCCAGCTGCACCACCGGCGCGGGCACCTGCTCTTGCTCGGGCACCGCCTCCTCTGCGGACACCACCTCCTCTACGGACACCGCCTCCTCTGCGGACACCACCTCCTCTGCGGACGCCGCCTCCTCTGCGGACACCGCCTCCTCTGCGGACACCGCCTCCTCTGCGGACACCAGCTCCTCTATGGACACCAGCTCCTCTGCGGACATCAGCTCCTCTATGGACACCAGCTCCTCTGCGGACACCAGCTCCTCTGCGGACATCAGCTCCTCTGCGGACACCAGCTCCTCTGCGGACATCAGCTCCTCTGCGGACATCAGCTCATCTGCGGACATCAGCTCCTCTACGGACACCAGCTCCTGCGCGGGCTCCTGCTCCTGTTCTGGAGGGACTGCGTCGAGCCCGGACCCCACCTCCAACCCCAAGTCGGAGGACAACTCGACGAGCACAGGTTCAATCGGCACCAACTGCAGTTCCTCGTCGGAATCCAACTGCAACAAGGACAGGAACATGTATACGTAAGCTTCCGCGGCTCGAATCCATAAATTCTCGGCTATCCGGGAGACGCCGCGTCGTTGGCTGGGGTGCTGACGTTTCGCCTGACATGTCGCAGGCTTCCTCAGGGCAGTGACTGCCCTGAGGTCACTGCCAACGACGCGGCGTCTCCCGGATAGCCGAGAATTTAAAGATATGAACACGCATTCCCATTCCGACTCTGACGGCTATATCGCCTTTTCGTGAAATCGAAATGATATGTATGTGACACATTGATTACAAATCGATTAATCCACATAATATTTAGAAGATTTCTATTATCAAAGCGGTATCTGGCTTTTTTTCATTAAAAATCAGAGACTGAATCCCTACTATATTATATGCTCACGTTTTCTTGAGCCTTCCATTCGCTAGATGTGAGAGGAGTCAGAGTGTTGGTTATTTTGACGACCGGACTACTGTATCAAATCTGTAGATCGTTTTCGATGCAAAGTAGTTTGTTACACAGTTTGTTGAACGTTTTTGGTCATAATATTTTGTCAACAACGCTCATCACCGTTATTTCGGCGTAATTCAACTTCTTTTAGTAGGAAGGTATACCGCGACTCAAGGAAACGTGCACATATAATACTTAAACCTCATACATTAAGAAAGCGTTATGGAACGTGTACAAAATATTAGGTCAATCGTATGGTGAAATACGTGCAGAAGGATTATAATCTGATGCTACAGTAATAGGTAATAAAGGCATGTGCGGAAAAGGTGGTAAAAATGATGGAAAACATAACATATTCACCTCGAAAAACTCGTTCGCGAACAGTTCTTCATCCGTTATCAGGTTCGCAGGAACATCATCCTTCTGTGCCTAAACAATATTTGAAAGAACAGAGTGCTTACAAACGAAGTTAAATGAGAAGTGAGCGGGGGGAGAGAGGGAGAGGGGAGAGAGAGAGACGCGTACACACACATCGTAGCCATATCCAGATGCTATAGACTCAAACTCAGCAGACGTGCAAGCACTTACAAACAATTATTTTAAAAATCCTCCTCCTGCTGCTACTGCTATTGCTACTGCTAGTACTACTGCTACTGACACCGCCGCCGCTCTCGCAACCACTATCACTACTGCTACTGCTACTACTTCTACCACTACCACTACTACATTGCAACGACGATGACTACCACCACCACTACTAATATTAATACAACTACTAATAATGATGATTATGATAACAAAGAAAGTAAATCCCAAAAATTAAGAATTTAGCCTTAAATTTTCGAAAAAAAGTAATGATAACAACTTTAAATACCACGCACTGATTTAATATACAAAAGCTAGTTCTTGACAACAATTACAATAACTTTTTTCAGTGTCATCAGTCACAAATTCCTCCATTACAACACTTGCATTAATCAAAATGAAACTCACTACAGTAATATCGACCATGCTGAAAATAGTAATAACAAGATTTGAAAACAATGAATAGTGCATATGGTATGAAAACTAATGATTATACAAAGGAAATTTTTAACCTGATTTTAAAATAATTTTTGCAAACAATAAAACAAAATATTGAGTGAGTAAATGTGATGCAAATCTAATTAATGTTCCTCATATATTTAAATAATGTAGGTACTTTAAAATAGCTGCCACTAAAATATACCTGAAGTATGTTTTATCACAGTCAATATGCTGAATGAAAAAACAATATTAGTTTATAATCAAAATATTTTTGATTTTGTCCAATCAATTCAGATTGCATCAATTTACTCCAAATAATACTTATTTCTATCGTTCGCAATAACCATGTTTGTTCTTCTTCTTCTTCTTCCGTAAACTGCAGTAAATAAAGGCTCAAAAAAATCCTCTCCAGAAACCCACAGGCCTGGAAAAAAAGGGAAATGAATTGCTAGATTGTAAAAATGCATTATTTTATGCTCAGTTCAGTAAAAATTAAAGAAAAATCGAACTTTCACATTTTATCACAAATTAGTATTATAATTCTGATGGTTGCAAAATGTTCTATTACTATGCAATTATAAACACTGATTTCACCCTATTTCTTAAATCAGAGAAATTATTACACATTCTCTAAGAACATATTTTTTCTTCGGTTTACAATGTTTCTAAAATGTAGATTTAAACACCCTTAACTGCCCTTCGAGTTTTTAATTATAAATTAAAATTAAAACATAATAAATAACAAGAACTAATCATGAGACCACTGTTTTTCATATGACAATACTTGTTTTTCAAAACCTTTGAGGTGGTACAGAAACAGGTAAGAATGAAAACCAAATAGATAAAGAAAACATATTACATTTATGCATAAATTTGTGTTTGAATGGCCACAATTGCATCTATTTCAAGTAAATATCTCATTCTGAGTCATATTATTTCATCTTATTGTTCTAGTCAGAAAGTTGGCCTATTTCTTACTAACCAAAAATACATTAACTTTTACCAAATAAAAAAAGAAAAACATTCTGATGACCCCGTGAATCAATTAAAGATTTTTTTTTGATTTTTTTGATTTTTTTATTTTATTTTATTTTTTCCAATTGTAAGTTTAAAAAAGTTACTTTTCATTAAATTTCATTTACTACCAGCGTTAGCTAGTTAAACACAAATTTGTAAATATTTATTAGTAAATGAATAAAATAAACCATTTCTTATTAAGTTTAAAATAAATAAGAATTATAAATTATAAATATTACCATTTATATTTTAAATAAGTGAAAATGTTTCACTATACTAATGATAAAAAAGAAAATAATTGAAAAATAAAGAAAATTTGCCTAAAATTTTACAGAAAAAGTCATGGTATTAAACTTTAAATTCCAGGCAGTAAGTTAATACAAAAACGTAATTTTTGATGACGATGACGAAGACATAAACAGCAACTTTTTTCAGGGACAAATGCCTCTATTAACAACTCTTGCACCAACCAAAATGAAACTCCCAACAGTAGTTACTAATAATGCTGGAAAGGGTACTAACAAAATTCCAAAAAATTAATAATTCAGTGTATACAAAACCTAATAATTATACAAATTGTTATTTTTAACCTGACTTTAAAATCATTTTTTTCCATCAATAAAACACAAACATTGTGGCAGTAAAGGAGATGCAAATCATATTCTTTCTCATAAATTTCTAATATAGTTTGTATTGTCAAATACTGGTCTCTAAAAAAAATACCTCATTTTGTATATCAGTGAATATTCTAAGTAATAAATATAGGAACTTTTTTGAAAATTCTGAAAGATCAGAAAACAGTTTTTTAAAATTTTGAAAGATCGTCGAAAAATGAGACATGTGCCATCCTTTTTTGCATTTTTTGCTCTATCCATGGGAAAATTTGAAACAAAAATTGGGAGCAGTTTCTGATATAAGTTAATTTTTTATAAATTGAATAAATTTCAAGAAATATGCACAAAATACCCATTATTCGAAAAAATTACACGACCTTCATTAAAAAGCAGATTTTTAGAATGGAGGCAAAAAATTCTATCTTTAAATTTAGATTTTGAAATGTTAAAATTTTACAATTTTCGAAAATACAAAGGGTTTCCTGGAAATTCTTTCCAGCAAACCCTCTGTATCTTAAAGAAAAAACTTGGATCACTCTTTCTGAAAAAAAATTTAAAAACCTTAAAAATTGCCTCTATTTCACACATTACCACAAAACTACTCGTATTTTTGAAAAATTCTAAATGACTGTTTTCTCGATCCTCCATCAATGAGCAAATTTCATTTGGAAAAAATATCTATCTTCAATAAAGTAGTAGTATTAGATATAGAAAGACAGAACAATTTAAACTTTTGCAATATTTGAAAATTCAGGGATTTCAATGAAATTTATACCAGCACCATTCTCGTAAGCCTCTTTTATATCATGACAGGCACGGATCCATGGAGAGGGAAATTTCCCAGGCTAAAGTTTTTCAGCAATTATTAATTTTAACTTCACGAGACTTTCAAGAAAAATATTTTTGGATTATTATCAAAACGAATAAAATCGTATCGCAGCATGAGATGAGTGTAGCCTGCAACATTTTATAAAATCTGTAATATGACAATTGATGATAACATTTTGAATTTCCTCTCCCAAAATCCGTCTCTGGATCTCCCAAAATCCGTCCCATAATTATGAGGACATTTAATAAAATAATGATAACATTTAATAAAATAATTGGAGCCATTTTTGAGAAAATTTTATGCACTGTTTTTCTTCATTTTACTGTGTTTCCACAATGTAGTATTATTACACACTACCTGCCCTTTCACATTTTAATTAATAACTCAAATTAACATATATTAGTATACAAGAACAAATCATGAGCCATTGTTAATCACATGATAATATCTGTCCTTTCCAAAAATTAGGAGTTCATAAGCAACAAAAAAAAGAGTACCAACTTAGTTAAGAAAACATATTATATGTATGCTCAATTTTGTGAATAAATGAAAACAATGGTCTCAACCTAAATAAAACATCTCATTTTGAGGGTTAAGTGTTATACACAGCACAAATCATGGTATTGTTGAATTTTATGTGTTCTCGGGTAAAATTGGAGAATGTTTTTAAAAATGAGAAAGATATTTATCCTGTCAGAATATTATTTTGCTTCTTACTAACAAAATACACTTAAACCTTTTGTCAAATAAAATATGGAAAAAGATTCTGACAACACAGAGAATAAATTCAAGAATTTTCACAAAGAATTTTAAGTTTTAAAAATATTGCTTATATTTAATTTGAATAATATGTAGGTTTACAGAAGTTCCTTGCTTTTAATTTTCATTTGCTATCAAATGCTTTGTAATTTGAAGTAAAAGCAATGAGTAAATGATTATAATGTGAAATAATTTTATGAATACATGTCTTTCTTGTAATCTATACTCTTTAAGTTCTTAATTTGTAGTCCCTTAATCTTTTTAGACAGCCCATCTAGTCTTACAATATTGCATCTGAGACACATGTTATTTGAGGTGAAAATACTGTCTCAATTCACATTCAAAATATCTTAAACCTCTTGTTTTTGTAACATCACAATAACACAATGTTTTACAATCAACTTCTTGCCCCTTCAGAAGCCAGTATTATTATATTATCTAATAAGATAAAATTCTTATATTTAAAATACTTTGATACAATATTATTTACAATAAAACGTAACTAATATAAGTGTAGAAGTTTCACATTAGATTTATAAAGTATATAACATAGCGATATAAATAGAATCACCTTTAAAAGAAAATAGCTGACTACATTTCACAGAAGAATTTCATGTACAATCATTTTCTTCAATGCTCTATTCTCATATGCAGCATGATGACGTGAAGCCTTGTGGTGATAGGGGCAGGAACAGGTTGTTGATGAAGGTGGCTGAAGGATAGAGGAGAGGATGGTTCACCTCTGACACTTTCTTTTCAACTATAAATAACATTATCATAGTGTAGTCTTATGGATCATTTCCAACATAATGATCATTTTTGTTTTGCATTTGAAAATTTACAGTTTCTGATATTTGTCACACACACACACACACACACAGAAACTTTAAACTCAAAATTGATCAATTTACATAAGAACAAAACCACAATTGTCAAAATAGTCCAAAGTCATTCCCACAATCATCTAGCTCAATTATGGGCCTTCAAATTATCCAGCTATCCTCCATCTTGGAGAGGCCTCTTCCCTGTATGAGATTCCAATGGGTTTATTATAAACAATTCTGCAGCTGAAAAACTGTACCAGGTTTTCAAATTGTCCAACCAGGCTGTACGTATTCTTCCTCTTGCTCTTTTACCACAAATCTTCCCTTGAAAAATTATCTGTAAAATGTTACATTTTTCTTCTCTCATAATGTGTCATAAATACAGTAACTTTCTTATTTTCATTGTTTTTAAAATTTCTTTGCGTTTTTCTATTCTTCTCAGGACTTTATTATTTGTAGTTCTCAATACCATTGATTCTACGGATTCTTTTGTATGACCACATTTCCAATACTTGTAGCCTGCACTGTCTCTTTTCATTAAAGTCCAGCTCTCCATTCTATAAAAAAGAGTCAAAAATACATAACACTTGAACAACTTTATCTTAACACTTACATTAAATCCTCTTGTGCAGAATACAGTTTTCATTTAGTTAAAGATGCTTCTTGCCTGACGTATTCTTGCCTTAATCTCATCTGAGATTAAATTTTTCTGATTTATAGTAGTGCCAAGGTATTTATATCTCTGTACTTGTTGAATTGTCTTTCTATTGATTAAATAAATTGTCCCTCAATTGATTAAAATATGTTCTCGATGTGTTTCAGAAATCTTTTTATCATTGAAAACTCCATATACTTTTTTGACAATCACCTGTTTTTTTATTGTTTACATTCTTAAATTGACATCTCAAAAAAAAATTCAAATTTTTACTTGCCAATTAACAGCTAATATCATTTCGGAGTTCATTATTTCCTCCAGCTTCAGATTCTTACAGATCCAAAAGTCACTTAGTGTCGACCCATTTTGACTACATGGCTTTCAAAGGTGCTGATGTTTCAGAAATCTCCATAAACTTAGTCTTGCTTACATTCAGCGTCAACCTAAACTCTTCACTTTTTCCCACTACTTTGTTGAGAAGATATTATAAGTCTTCAAGTTTTTCAGCTAACTATGCAGTATCATCAGAGTACCTTTTTCATAATTATACCATTTGCTATTTTGTCAGCAGTTTCATCTCATAAGGCTGCTTGGATTATATCGTCTGACTAGATGCTAAACAATAAGGGGGACAGAACACTGTCCTGTCTTTCACCTCTTTTAATTTATATTTCTTCTGAAAACTCATTTTCTAATTTTATATTGGCCATTTCATTGTAGTCAGGTTGTATACAATGCGAATATCTTTTTTATCCAGGTATTTCTTCTTGAGTAACTTTGTCAAACGTTTTGTTATAATCTAGAAAGCAAACATATAACAGCTGACTAACATCAATGAATCTTTCTGCTAATACATTAAATTTAAATAACGCTAAGAAGAAGGTTCTTTTACATTGTTGAAAATTGTTTTATGTATAACTTTTAGAGATATTTTTAGAGTGTAGCTCATCAGACTAATAGTTCAATAACCACTACAGGTTTTAGTCTGAACTTTTTTGGGTAGCATAACAAAAGTGGATGTCATCCATTCATTAGGAATAATTCCAGTATCGTATATATCATTAAACATATCTACAAATATATCTATTCCTTCTGCTTCTATAATTTTCAGTAGGTCTTTTGTGATTATGTCCAGCCCAGGTGTCTTACAATTGTTAGTTGAGTTATTTTATTATTTCTTCCCTGTTTCTTGATACGTCTTCTCTTCTGTATCTTTTGTTGATAAGAGTAAATTCTATTTATTTTCTACACATTTTTTCATTGTTATCTCTCATTGCTTTCCAAGTGTAAAGTCTTGGCTTGGGTAGTTTAAAGAAAGTATTTGATAATAGCAAATCATGTTCTTGGCAAAATTGTGTCAGCGATTCACATCTCACATTTCTTGTCCCTAAACCAAAATGTCCAATATAGTCACATCCTTCCTGTATTTTTGCATTGAAATCTCCCATTATGACAATAATATCTTTGGATTTAGATGTTTTTATTGCTTGTAGAAAATGTTCATAAAATGTTTGAACTTCAATGTCATTTTTGTCTGCTGTTGGGGCATAAACTTGAATCATACTGATATTAATGGTTAGTTTTGTTTGTAAGTGTAAGGTGACCACTGTAAAATCGGCATAAAGCTTGTAACAGATCAACTAGTGTATTTATTTAAAATTGTTCGTACACCAGTCCGGTGAAAATTATCAGAATTTTCTGAGTAGTATATTTTCACATAGTCATTTCTCCTGAGCCGTCACCGTTTCTCTGCTCTCAGTCTCCACCTCTCTCTATTTGACTATCAATCATCTTGATTTTCTCCTGCTGTCATTGCCTCTCATACTCCCTGCTGCCATGCAAGTCTGCGTCTTACTCTCTTCTGTCTTTCTTGTACAACATTATTTATTTTACCTGGTTGCTACAATGATCTTACATTCAATGTTGCAAACAGTGTATTACTATAATTGTTCATGCCATTATTCAAGGCTCCCCCACCCCTACCCTGGAGATCCGATTGAGGGAATTGATGCTCTGGAAAATTTAAAACTGAATCCTACCATGGTGACTTTTCATGGGGATATTCTTTGGACCCTTATTGATGACCCTTTGAATTCTTGTAGAGATCCATCTAGATTATACCAAACATGAAATAAAAATTTTTTATAGTTCCTTATTTGAAAAACTCAACATATTTTCCACAACCATGTGTGTATTTATAAAAAAAGACTCCAACCATTATTACCAAAAGAACTTTGCTAATAATGACATTCTAAAACACACACACACAAGCTCATATGTCAAAGTATACTTGTATGTTCTAATAGAAACTAAATTATTTGCTAGAAATGATTCTCCTCAAGAATGAAAAGTACAAACTTAAGTATCTGCAAATAAGTTATGCAAAATTAAAGCATACATATAATGAAGAGAAGTATAGAAAATTTTGTGAAGATTGAATTTCATTATCATCTCATTCCAATTCAGAATGCTAGATTCAAAAGCATTTTTTAAAGCAACAGAACAGCTGTTAAAATAAAAAAATGTAACTTGTGAAACCTCCTTTTACCTTGTTACTGCAAATTTTTCATTATCTACGTCCATTGTTCTGTTATAATTTCATTTCTCCTACTTTCATCAAGGAATAAGCAGACACTCAAATGTTAAAAATGCTACTTGGAATTTTTCAGACATCAACTATAATTCCATTTCTTAAATATAGTCTACCTTATATGATCTCAAAAAACTGCCTTTGATAAAAATATTTTTATACAAAAATATTACAATAAATATTTTTGTAAGACCATATCAAGTGTTGTAAAATATGAAATGCATTTAAACAATTGACAATTATTACAAGTTCTGCAGAGAGAGTTTTAGTAGGTATGCAAAAATTAGTATTTCATGAAAATCTAGAAATATTGATTAATTTTTTGGGTGCATGTCGCAGACACAATGGACAGTAATAACGCTATTACATTCATTTCCTGTTAAAAGTGTTTGGAAATTTCTCTCTGGACTTACATAATGAACTTTCTCCCAAACATAACCTCAACAATAATCTGGCCTTTCAATATCAAAAATCGGGAAATGCTTGTGATTACAAAACCTAGTTCTTTTTTAAAGAAAGATTACCCTTATCCCAGATAGTCACACATACAGTTTTTACGTCTTTATCAATAAAATTATTTTTATTTATTTTATGGCAAGCACACACGGCCCAGACTACAATAGTCCAATACATCACAATGTTTCATCAGAACAATAAATTAGTCTTCAGATGGATAAAATAAAATATATCTATAAATAAATTATCAGTAATATATATATATATATATACAATTATTTACAAATTGTCTATAAATAAATAGATATAGTTTACTTACCGGGAATCGTTGCCACACGTGTTCTCCTATGTCAGACTACCAACCAAATAGATTAGAAAAGTAAAATGTAAATTGATTTAGCCAACAGAACAAAACAAATGTATTTTTGTAAGCATTTGAAACAAATACGAGTGGAAATGCGTCGCAATTACAAAACATACTTAATTGCAGAAGTTAGAATTAGAGGGATGAATGACGATACTCGATTGTCTGTGAATGCCCCTCGTTCCGCCAAAATGACGTTTTAGTACATTACTTGGCCATTAGTTTTTTTAGTACATTACTATGTCACATAGGGTACAAAATTACAACAATTTATGTGTAAAGGTGTAGATACTCTTTTCAACGCATGCGATTTGCACGTGACTCCGGGCTTCAGCCACCGTGGTTAACATAAAAGATCATCGATTTGGTCTAATGCATTTCCAACAGAGGTAGCTGGTGTCCCAACAGACCACATGCACTCCCATCGAATGACTCCAGCACATTGCAACAGGCATTATTGCTTTGACACGTTTTACACAATTTAAATTATTTTATTTCGAAAACTTCACTGCCCTGATATATATGGAAATAATGAAAAATCTTCAACACACATTCCTATTCACAAGAACACTCACAAAGTGCTGGCCAGGTGCAAACACACTGGCTTCCGCGAAACACTAAGGGACTACCATCCGGAATGGCCACCTATTCACAAAGAACCCTTCGAATGTACGGTTTGAATCAACAACCCTAATATCAAATGGAAAAAAATCTCCAAATGTCATAAACAATGCATTGAATATTGTCAATAATAGACTGAACTTGTGTACTTTCAATAACAAGCGAAATACATAAAATTACATAGCAAGACGAAGAAAATTACAGTCAGACGAAGACAGAATATTGGGATTCCTTTGAGACTCCCTCGGTCGCCGCGCAGCGCTAGAAAGCGCCACGAGCTGGTTGTACCACCAAAAGCTAGCATCTTCCCCGTGTTAAATCAAAGAGTAACTGCCAAAGCATACAACCAAGAACATAGTGCAGTAGCCGACAAGGCCAGTTGGACCGGACCAGACACCGGAGAGAGCGCCAGTTGGACGCTCTTTGGTTTCAAAATGATTTCATATACATCGATATTGCGGCAATATCTTGAATATTGAATTTTTAAAAGGAATATGGAATCTTAGGAATGCCTAAGAAATTATGTGATCTTTTTCGGTTACCTGCGTGTTGTGCAACTATGCAACCTAAGTCAAGCCGCCAATGAATTCCAATACTCTGGTTTATCGTGGAATAAATGCATTCCACACATACAACATTGCTCGCAGACTGTGAGTTAGCTGTAACTGCAGACGAAAATACGGATCCGCCGTAACAGACAGAAAGGGACTTTCTTCCAAAACGGCCAACTTTACGTAACAGACTCATAATCAAACGTACATTTCGAATCAAAAACCTAATATCAAAAGAAAATTAATTCTCCAAACATAAATAATGCATTCAATGCCGTCAATAATTGCCCTAACTATCAATAACACGCGAAATTCATAAAATTAGGTTACAGATACTTTCAGTCGAAGACAGAACATTGGGATTCCCCTCGGTACACTGCGCAACACTCGACGATCAACCCCCCCCCCCCACTGATGGCCACATTGAAGGTTTGTAGAGGCGTGTTCAAGCGTAGGGTCAAAGAGTAAATGCAGTAAACGCAGTAATAGAGGCAAGAGACAAGGGCGTGGTGCAATACCTTACAGGGCACCAGACGCCGGAGAGAGCGCCAGTTGGGCGCTCTTTGGTTTCAGAATGATTTTATATACATCGATATTGCTGCAATGTCTTGAATATTGAATGTCATTGAAACAAGAATGTATGTATTTTTTTAACATATTAACATGTATATTCTTAACATATCAAAGCCTACTTTGGACGGAAGACATAAAAACACTATGTATGTCAAACGTACACGAAAATTCCCAAGCTGATTCGCGATAACGCGATTATGATCGTCGTCTTCCTCCAGGACGATAACAATCTTGAATACATCTACATGAAACACGTCGGAAACGATTTTAGAACTTTCAACGATTTTAAGGCGGTGTGCTCCAAAGTGTGGAATTCCGATCCTTTTGCTTTGTGGGGATATGCAAGCGAAGTCCTGTCAATAACGGGCAATACCGATTGGGTTTTGATCGGTTCCTTGTTTTGTCCGACGGAGGTACAGATTCTAATACCGCTACATAATATCTTTTCTTCCTACACGAGCTTCACTCTCCGATGAAATACTTATATGCGTCGTCATTGCCAACAAAATTAGTTATTAATTTAACATTTTCCTTTAGTATTAAATGACTTACCCACCCCCACTTTTTTCTTTCTTTCAATTCTTTGAATGTTAAATATATTTTCCAAAAAAGTGTAAATTATTAGTAACCTTTATTATAATTTTGTTGTCAAATCAAAAGAATGTTCACGTTTTAATGTTTTTGTTTTTCTTCTTGTAATAGAAAACTGATGATGATGGCTAAGCCATAGAAAGCTGCTTTTTTAATAAATAATATTGTTGGCAATGACGACGCATATAATTATTTTATTAGAAATGCCAACGATAACTCACCACAACACTTATATTCACTCTCCGACATGGTGTACGTGCGACAGCATTTCAATGTCAGCAATTTCACAAGGCGGCGGCGACTTCACTATCGCGGAAGTGGATTTATAGGACGAATGGTGTATGCGGCGATAAACAAGCTGCCGTTCGAAGTTCACATTCCCGGTGGTTATTTGTGTTGACCCAGGACGAAACTCACGAAAAGAAATTCGTTTTGACCGGGGCATCAATCCGCTGGACGAAGCGTGTAGAGTGCACGTTATTGCTGACTACAATTACAAGCGAGTGGAGGAACGCAAAAGGGCAGATGAAGCACTCGGCAAGACAGCGTGGGAGAGAGTCAAGTCGAGAGACGCGAGGTTCAGTGTGAGCTGCGGCGCTCGGTGTTGCGGGAGTAATGAAACTAAAATCAAAACGAAAAGGATGCGTGCAAAATAAAATAGGGGCGAGGGGAGTGAAAAGAAAACGAAAAAACAGAAACGAACAAAAAATACTTCAAAAAGATCTGAAGAAGCTCAGCAAGCGTGAACAAGTGAAAAAGACCTTGCGGGGCAAGTCACCGCGCCATCGCCCTTCCCCGCCTCCCGCGCCCATCCGACACCAGAGGAGAGGTCGAAATTGGAAGTGGAGAAGGCGCGCGAACAAAATAAACGCTTTGCTAGAATCCGAAACGGTGCGCAATCCTTTACTCAGCCCGTTTCTCACGGCTCCCATGTCCAAAGCGTTTTCCAAGAAAACAAATCGCTGTTCCGCCATTCTCTTCGACACCTAAATCTGAAATAGCCTCTATTAAGAGCGTGAACACGTCACCCGGTCAATTCGGAAGGAGACGAAGAAGAAGAAGAAGAAGAAGAAGAAGAAGAAGACGAAGATGATGATGATGATGATAGCGATAACGAGCTCTTTTCCTCGTTTGAGTCGATTCCGGAGACTGAGGAAAAGGGCGTTCGCGTTCCAAAGTTATTCTTTATTGTGTGGCGTCTTTGCCCGGGCAATAAATCACAGACGTGAACGGTTTGTAATTTATTGAGTATTTATTTGAAATATTCTCCAACACCTGAATATTATTTACAATAATTACAATAAACAATATTGACCCGTTACCTGAAGGAATGTTCCTTGTCACCACCACCGCTGGCCTGATAATTTGATATCTTATTCGGTGTGATGCACCAGTAGCCTACGTGAGCATACAAGCGAGTATGCCGCACCTCCCGTCTCGACGTAGCACGCCGGCTTCAGTTCTCTGCCTCAGTAGCCTATGCATTGAAATGCAGCGCCGCGCACAACCCACACGACTTCCTACCGACGCGTCCAAGAATCAGAAGAAGGAGTTTAGGTCCGGGGTCCGCTTATATTGCTTTCTGGGATGACTGACGGAACTGCGTCATCTCGCTGTTGCCGCCGACGCATTTCCACAGCCAGCCTGTCTACGGAGTTCACAAGTTTGCCCAAGTGGTCTACGGTGTTCCCAAGTGGCCACCCAGGACACGGCATCCCTTCTCTTCCGTTCCCTAGGTTTGCCATTGTTCAGCCCGGCGCCCCTTCCCGCCAGCGCTGCCTGCTGTCGCAAACTACTTCCTCGTGCATTTCATGTGCATGAAATGCACGTGGCTAATATTTTCTCACGTTTGTACAAGGCGGCTGATAAGACGCCACAATTGGAAAGGTTTTTGAAAGACGCGAAGCACGGTCTAGGAGATAACATTTCCGAAGCGTCCTATTTAGAAGGTCGATCGGCAACAGTTTGATTGGTCTTCATCCGGAGGACGGATTCTTCTCCATTCAGGGACAGAGATTCTAACCCGAGTCCGGCCTCCTCGAACTGCTATTTCTTAAGCACCCCAACGCAAATAATGCACCGGACGAGGAATTAGAGAAGTACAAAAACTTCTTAATTAAGTTCCGCTCACAAAAATAATTACACAGAAATTTCTCAAAAGAGTGCAAAAGGTAATCCAAAGAAATGTCGTGATATTATCTCCCCTCTTTTTAGAGACAAAAGGCGAAACAGCAGCAGAGTACAAAATAAAAATAAAAATGAAGGGGACTACGTTTCGTGACCGCGTCCGACTGCAAATATTGGCGTGATCCGAACAAACGCGTAGCGAGGCTAAGTCTTTTGCGCATCGAAAGCCGCCGGTAACAACGGCCTCGACGGTGAAATAGTAGAAATAGAAGAATTGTGTGACGCTGGTATTATCGCCTAGCCCCTCTGGTCACGCAGAAGAGAAATAAGGTGTCGGTGACGTCCGACCGTCAAGGTCTTGTTGAAGAATTTTACGCGCCGGTTGAACGTCGTTACTCGAGGCGGCGGGTGATTACGTAAGGACTTGAATGGCTTTATGGGCAGGCCGACTTTGGTTCCGACATGCAACCTACACGACGAGCAATTTCTCCAGAATCGTTTCTTTTTTTTTGTTTTTTTTTTTTTATTTTTATTTTTATTTTATTT